CACTACATGAGGCTCCTGTCCTGGATATTCTTAATAAGCCACTGGTCATGTTTTTTCGGTAATCTATATAATAATTCCGGAAAATATCTGAAACAGTCTGCATGAGGTTTAAACAGAAGAATAGATAGACCCTGTAAAACTGTTTTTATTGTCTTACATATTAGTAACGAAAAACAAATCTCTGGAGCAGTATTAGTAGACATTTTAAATGAATAATTCTTCACTTTTTTATATAGTTTAACTTCTGATGAAACGGCAATGGCAGAACGTTGGCAGAAATAAAACGTTTTTTTTATTATTATTATGTAGAGAGTAAAGGTAGTTTGTTTCTAACTTTATTACCAAAATGTTTAAATCAAATTCTGAAAAAAAACCTCAATGATTGATAGTTTTGTTTAATATATTCAAATAAATAGGTTAACTCTTTGAGCATTATCACTCATCATAATATTGTTTTCAAATTTCTACTTCATCTATAATTTGGATATCTTTTTTGTTGAGTGCACTGAAGTTAATTGTATTTTATAATAATGCCAGTCCAAGTCTCTTTCTGTTTGCGAAACAACTTCCTCTATAGTCGATCATGCTCACTATTACACACTATTACCCAATACCACAATTTGTGTTCTAACAAGCTTCCGAAAATGACAGTAAAGCCGTTCATAGACTAGATATCTTGACAGACTTTTCACAGACTTTCAGCTATATATATACGTGAACGTCAGCTTCCAAGACCACTTGTAAGTAGAACAAAGGAATAAAAAAACCTTGGAGCTGCATCGGTAGAGGAGAGGGAGGGTGGATTACAAGTATGTGATCGAATGATATTGCTGTGATTCCAGTTTCGCTTTCTCAAGAAAACAGCTATCGATTTTTATGTGGGACTGAAAGTTTGTGAACCTCTGACTTTGAGTTGTTGATCGGTTAAAAATCATTGGTTGTTATCTTGTTAACATTCTTGATAGGTTAAAAATTATTGTTCATTATCTTGTTAACGTTCTTGATAGGTTAAAAATTATTGTTCATTATCTTGTTAACGGTTTTGATCGGTTAAAAATCATTCTTCGTTATCTTGTTAACGGTCTTGATCGGTTAAAAATCATTCTTCGTTATCTTGTTAACAATCTTGATCGGTTAAAATCATTCTTCGTTATCTTGTTAACGGTCTTGATCGGTTAAAAATCATTCTTCGTTATCTTATTAACGGTCTTGATCGGTTAAAAATCATTCTTCGTTATCTTATTAACGGTCTTGATCGGTTAAAAATCATTCTTCGTTATCTTGTTAACGGTAACGGGAAATAAGATCAGCTTCATTCGCGGTGAGTTTTTGGAGAGAAAGATTCTTTTTCATAACTATTCTATGCATTTTACGAATAAGAGCCTTTCTGAGGAAGGGTTAAAGTGTGCACTTTACGAATAAGGGCCTTTCTGAGGAATGGTTGAAGTGTGCACTTTACGAATAAGGGCCTTACTCAGTAATTGTTGAAATATGGTTTGAGGGCCGTTTTCTCCTATACCCTCTGCTGTGCGAGTTTTTCCTTTTCCACGGAGAACAATGAAGTCTTTTTTTTTCTATGAAAAGTTGTGTCTTCTACCTTTTAATAGTTTAACAATCATGTTATAACAACGTTATTCAATGGAAACGCTATGGCATTTGTTGGTATGACATGATTAGCTCCTATACATTTTGTTTGCAGCGAATTCTCAACAATTGCACAATGCAATGTTGCTGCGAGTAAGTTGTGCTGGTGGCGCCAAGGCATTCATATAAAGTGGTTAACGTTCTATATAAACAGTATAATGAAGAAAAACTTTGTTGGTAGGAATACTTTTCACGTCATAGCAAAAATGTTTAAATCATACGTCATTTAATACTCAAGCTTTTTGCATGGCTTGTTTTATTCTTTTGAAGATGTTCGAGGTAGATGGGTTCTTAAAACACTCAGAAGAGAAATATTAGATAATTACTAAAAAGTCTCCTCTTTTATGTTTTTGAAATCCAACGATTTGTGAGAACCCTTCAGTCAGTTAGTGCCTCATGACTAGAAGTTAAAACAAGTTGGATAGAAGAACGTCTTTACGATGGTAGATCAACTTTACAGATAAGATATTTTAACTAAAATATTAAATATATCTAAGTGATGGTTATAAAGTTAGTTCCATATAATCTTTTTCCTATCTTGTCTTAGTATCCATTGTTTGGATCTCTTTAAGATGCCAGTAACGCATTTTAATACCGATATTAAATATTCCTCATTGGTTATAAACTGGTTTGGGAAACTAGTTACAACAATACTGTAACGCATTTTAATACCGATATTAAATATTCATCATTGGTTATAAACTGGTTTGGGAAACTAGTTACAACAATACTGTAACGCATTTTAATACCGATATTAAATATTCATCATTGGTTATAAACTGGTTTGGGAAACTAGTTACAACAATACTGTTTACAACTCTTAACATGCTGTGGATTCCTTGAGACAGCTAAATCTGGAAATGTGAGATAACGTTTTTTTTGTTGTTGTTGTTGTTTAATAATGATACTACAAAATAATCAGAACCTAAGTTAATAGTGTTAATAATAATACTAATAATAACTAAATCAAAATAAAATAAGTTTATTATACCATTTTAATCTTCCATGATCATTATTAGATGGAACCACCATACAATGTGTTTTCAAATTGGCCGCGACGACCAAACAAAGAACTGTTATCTTGCTTGGGATTTTAAAAGTCAAAGAGGTTTTGTCTAACGTTTAACTCTGTGTAATCCAATCTTACTTTGTAGAAACTGTTGCTGCAGTATAGCTTTAGTTTATAGCAGCTGTTACTACAGGACCTGTTTGTTATTCTAACAGTGTTTCTATGTCATCGACAGGATTTACTGACACTGTTCACGACCGTGACGTTAATGTCTCACTTCATTGATTTTCACTCCAGAACAACTTACTTTAAAAGCATTGTTACTATGATTCCGGCTTGTTCTATATACATTGTTATTACTGCACGCTTTTATTTCACGTTTTCCTTTCTTTATTCTCAAGTAGGCGTATGTAACTTACTAAACTAAATTAGTGGATTAAACCACAAACCACAGATTTGTCCTCACGAGCTTCTATGAAATTATTTTAGAAAGCTTGCAACAACATTTTTTTAAGATAAACTTAAAACAGAATAATTTGTGTGTATCGAATATTAAATAAAAAGCAAAAACAAAAATATTTTGTTCTACATAAAAATGTTAGGTTTTGTTGGCAATAGGTAAATGTTGTTACTTTTTTAAATTTGATTTATTCTTCGAATTCCAGTTGAAATTTTGATTAATTTTTGTAAAGGCTCTAAAGATCACTCTGTGAAAGTGTGGCATCTTTCCGCGAGGGAGACTCATATGACTCTCCAGGGACACACGGCTCCTATCACTTGCTTAGCCTTCGCTCCTAATGGACTTTTCGTTGTCTCGGGGTCAGAGGACATCACTCTCCGCGTTTGGGGCCTAACTCTCGGACTTGTGGTGTCTACTTTCAAGGTTTGGATTATACGTTGCATTATTTTTGGTTATTTTTCAATTATGTTAAATTCGTGTGCCGATGAACCTATAGGTTGATCTTACTGCCAAAATTAGGCTTATTTTATATGCATAATTTTTTTTGTTTTTAAATGTGTTTTGTGTTTTTGTATTTTCTATATGCAGTATTTGTTATATCCACATAGAACTAACTAGTTATTCATCCAGTAACTTGTAACAGTTATGGTTAGAATTATTCTTACATACTTTAAAGTTGGTGTGAACATTTAAAATGGCATGTTGTAAGTGTTATTTTATATTAAGATGTTTCTGTCAGCTTATACTTTTTGCACTTAATATAAGCCCATCATTACCTGACTATTCGCAATTTTAGTATGCCCCAGTGACGCAGCTATAAGTCTTAAGGCTTATAACACTAAAATAACACAGATAGCTAACCAATTATATAGCTATGCGCTCGACAACAAACGAATAAACTAAAATAATTTCCTTTTATGTAATTTTATGTAATATTAGTGTATTTTTTATGTACTATTCAAAAGTTTATAAAGACAGTAGTTTGAAATTAAGAAGCATCTGTCTCTTGAACCTGGATCTTAAGCCTTAGGTAACATTTAGGTGACACACTACCATTTTGATAGCAGTTTTTTTGGCACTGTTTTAATCCTTGTACTTCATCATATGACAGTCTGCCTTTGGCCTTCGATAGGCTGTAAGGCTGTACATTGACTTTTGCTATGAAACATCCTGCATACGATAAATTTACTTTAATTCTCGTTTAGTTATCAGCTGAAGTATTGTGTGTAATTTTGACTCTGTGTTTATCTCTAGAATAGGCATAAGGTGAACAGCAGTTTGCACATTGTATGTAGTTTTGTAATGAGTATCAAATGTGTTTCCTTAACCCTGAAATAATTATTAGGTAACTTACTGGTTTTAATCTGGGTTATGTTTTTAAGTGATTGTTGTTGTTGTCGTTTTGTTAACCTGAACTAGTTGTTGGATGATATACTACTTTTAACCTGGGTTTGGGTTTGAACTACCGTAGCCCTGAGCTACCTATTAGATTACTTACTGGTTTTGGTTGAGCTTCAGTCACTCTGACTAGGCAGTAGATGATTTAATGGTATCAGTTAACCTGGGTTCAGTTTTCAATAAGTTTTAGTGGCCATATTTTACTTGTTTTAAAGTTTGCTAGTTATCAGATGAGCTTCTTTAACATTGAAACATCTATCACATAACTTACTGACCTTGACCCTAAGTTAACTATCAGGTAACACAATGTATTTAACCATGCCTAATTGTTTGGTAGCATACTGCCATTAATTTTGTATTGCCTATCTTAATACACTTACTGGCTCTTTCTACTTTCGACGCTATATATATGTAGAATTAATCCTTTTGGTTCGTTCTTAGTACTATTTATATGGATGAAAATAAAATCGCATGACAAGAAACAAATACATACTGTAAAAAAACTATGGTGAAAGTATATACACACCAAGCGTTATTCTTACAATCTTACCCTGATCCTGACATTAATCATAAAGTTCTAGCGTGTACCGTAATTTTAGTAAATCTCTAAAAAAAAAAAAAAAAGAATTCGATTACGTATTTTTTTCCCATAGTCTTCGTATTACAAAATATAGGAGAAGAAGTAACGTTGTTCCCACAGGCCATTTGAAGTAATTGTTTCATTTTGTAAAGAAAGTGACTTAACATAAAGTTCGCTTATTAATCCAGTCATTAGAGAAAAAAATGTAAAAAAAATACGGTTCAAACGCGACACCCAACTCTTGTCAGATAATACAATAACCCGGGTTTTGATTTCCACTTGAAATTACTTATAATTAGCAACGCTTTTTTTTTCATAACTTTTAACGTTAGTCCTTGAAATACAATATGTCATTCCTTGTCATTAGTTCATTTAATTACATTCCAAACATAAATGCTTTGACTTTTAAAAAGATTGAAATGCAATATTTCTTAATTCTTATTAGATGCATCTCCGTTATATTCGGATGAAACGTAGTATTTTAATAGATTTCAACACAGAAAAAATATAACTTAATGATTTAAACTACACCTATAATATAACTCTTGTTCTGCCTTTGTTTCAACAAGTATCATATTTTCATTTACGAATTATTTATTTGAAATCCATTGCTTAATCTTAAAAAAGGAGTTATATTTTCTTCTACAAAACTTATATTTTAAATTATTGTCCGTTTCCATCTTTTGTGTAAATTATTATAACACAAAATGTATATATTTCATTTAGTTTAGAATTACCTTACGATAAGCAGGATTTCGATAATTTCAGGAGCATCAGAATAAAATAGCTTGTGTGTCTGTGACGTCAGACAGCCGTCGAGTACTATCTGCAGATGTCCAGGGCAGCTACCGACTGTGGCAAGCTGACAGTGGTAATCAAGTTCTTGGCTATTTACGCCCACTTCATCAAATGTCGCTGCATGCAAGCACTGTATTTGCAATTGGAGGCAAAAATGATAACAGGTAATAAGGATTACAACAAGTCTTCGAGTTGTCTGACTATTTTAGTTTTTACGAAAATAGTAAGAGTAAAAATCCACTTCGAATTTCAAAATTATTTAGTTATATAATGAGATGTAGACAGTAAAATTTGTAACAAGAAGTTGACAAGAAATCTTTGTGATAACGAATTATTTTGTTTCAAAAGTAGTGCGTTGTAAAATCCACTTGTAATCCAAAATTAGTTAGTCACGTGATGAAAAGTTATACTCTCAGATAAACCGACTACCTTCCTGAATCTTATTTGCGAAATATTTTGCGTAATACTATTTTTATTATGCATTCAGAGATAAGAAATTTGAATGATATTTTATTTTTATTCTTCGCTTTCATAAAGTTAAAAATTTACCGTAAAGCATAATGACTAAGAAGAATATGCTTTTTTAGGTAACTACAATATATTGTACTCCTATTGGCTGCATATTTTATTGTAATTCTTGTGCAGGCAGTTCCGGTGTTATTTCTTAGCCTTTGGTCAATTGCTACATATAAATTTCAAAGTGCTAGAGTAAGATCACTGTTATTTGAGTTAAGAATGTTTTCTCAAACCAAAATATACAATTTGTATCTTTTTTAAAAACAAATTTAATGGTATGTTTTCGGGATTTTTTTTCTCCGGAGAATATCCTAATAAATAAATAGTTCTTCTAAAGACCCTAATAAGAAAACTGTTTGTAAGTTGCTAAACTTACTGAAGTTATTACTATACTCTTGGCGTTTCAAAACAACAAAGATTGTAAATCACATACTGTGTATATCTTTGGACCCTCGTGCTCGAAAAATATGTAAAGTAATTAAAACAACAATGTTAGGTAATTGTTTATTCGTTATTAAGCACAAAACGTCACAATGGGCTGTTTCTGCTGCGCTCATGCTTGGTTCGAATCCCGAATTTTAGCGTTATAAGCCTTCAAGAAACTTACCGCTAAGGGACATGTTAGAAATATAAAGGAACTATTTTAATCGTCTAAAAGTATAATACACGAGATTGTGTTTCACGTATGAATCAACAATTTATTTAATATTTTGAATTTTTATCCACTATTAAGATTTACAATTCTAAAAATCGGGTTTCGATACCCGCTGTGCCCAGGGCACAGATAGTCCATTATGTACCTTTGTGCTTAATAACCAACAAAAACAACTATTAAGATAATCATGCATATTCAAAGAATTATCTTTTTTTTTAATAACTACAACAAATAGTTTAGACAGCATTTTGTGTTCATTGTTTTTACCTTAGCGTTCGATTTTGGCCAATACTGGATGTGGACTCTGAGAAATCAGTTACTCATAGTGATGCAATTCTCTGTTACACTGTCACCTACGACTGCAAGACCGTTGTCACAGGCTCCCAGGACATGTCGCTCAAGGTGTGGGAAGTGGCTACCGGAAAACTTACTCAAGTAAGACATTTGATCTTAATCTTTACCTGCTGTAAGTTTCTGAAAAGGTTTGGAATTACGAGACTTCAGCGAGATTCAGTTTTGTTATAAACTGTCATTTTGAACGATTTTTTGTGTTAGTTTTTTAATAAATTTAAACATTTTTTCAAGTATATAAATCCAAGCATTTTAACCTATGTAAAAAATGATTATTTTATAAAACAAGACTTAAGTTTTCCGAAAGCATTAATCACAGAACTTCAAGACTTTTTTAAATATCGGTTCATTTTAATTACTTTTTCATTCATAATTTATTAAAATAAATCATACACATCATGTATCCTTCTACTATGATCACATGTTACTGGAAAAGCTATCAGAAAACTCTAGCGTGTATCTAATTTCTATGAAACTGAAAATTATCAACATTATGTAAATATATTCTTTCCGCTATTATAAAGATTCGTACGTGCCTTATCTAAACATCTGAAAATTTTCATTTTGAGTAGTTTGACATTCGACAATTATAAATGCACACAGTGTACTAAAAGTAATTTCAGGAGTGTGATATTGGTAGACAACCACCACCGATGTTAATGCACACTCGAGAGTTTTGGGACACAAAAATACATTTTCTTTAACCAAAGCTTAATACAGTCAAAATGCATTGACTTTACTTTGCATTACGATATTGTTATGTTGGTCGTCTGGTGGTCTTCTTAATAACGTACTTCCTTTATACTTGCATTATGTTATTGTAAATAAAAGAAATTGCTAAAAAGCATATTTTTATGAACTATGCATATATTTCTCACTTTGCATACTCTTTAACTACACCATGTATATTTTTTATCCTATTCTTTCTCAGGTTTTAGTGGGTCACGAAGGCCCTGTCACGTGCGTGGCTGTAGCCCCCTTTAGTCCATCTCTGGTACTGTCTGGCTCCATGGACCACAATCTTATCGTGTGGGACATGACCACTGGAGATGATAATTTAACTTTAAGAGGTCACAAAGAAGCAATCAAAACTGTACAGCTCACGCTCGAAGGAAGCGTTGTCATTTCAGGTGTGTAGGTATAAATTAGTAGACTTGTAATAAGACTTTATATTCCTTCGCTTACTCTGTGGCCTTAAAGAATCCATCATATTTATCAATGACTCAGAATAGTTAACAGGAATACTTAAATTTTTTTAACATTTATATTAAAGATGTGTCAAATACGTGTACAAATAATTTGAATCTCGATGTATTAAGGCTTGCCCGTGTTACTTTTTTCATTTTAATAAATCGTGCAATTTCATGTATACTCCATTAAATGTCAATGTTCCTTTCATTCAAAAATTAAAGATAATTCTTTACTTAGATAGGTAAGCCACGTTTGTTCAATATTTTCCCATTATAACAACTTATTTCTGTTATTCTACAGTGTAGTTTTCTAACCGTTTGCCTTTGAAACATTTTAGGTTCTGATGATAATACCTTCCAAATATGGTATACGCAAACTGGTCACCGGATAGCCATATTAGACCTACATATGACAATGGTTTCTATGGCAACGTCTCTTCACGTGGGTCATATAGTTATTCAGTTAGCCAATAGCAATTTGGTTCCTGTTATTCGAGTTCACAATAACCCAGGAAAAGGAATAAAGTTAGATTTGCCTCCAGGAACACCTGTTAATGATGAAGGTAAACTTTTAGGTAAGTTGCAACAACATATCTGTCCTCTGAGGATGAAATCGAGAAGACGAAAAATATTTATAATTTATATATCTGAATTGTTTTGCATAAATCCTGCTTGTGATTTCATAACTGGTAATGAACGTCTACACGCTGTGTACATAAAAACAATAAACAAAGTTAAGTCGATTAGAGTACTATGTTAATAGTAGGATGATACATTACGCTGAACAACGGTTTCATGTTCTAACAATTATGTTAACCCGAGGAAAAATACTTCTGAATTATAGAAAGCATGCAAGAAAAATATTGTTCTTTGTACGTGGCAGCCTTACGACGCAGATTTTTGCCACGGAATCTACGCTGTGTGCTATTGTCAGTATGCACGATCGTCAGATAGAGCATAAAGGCAAGTGGAAACACAGACTGTAACGACGTGGTGAGGCTCCAAAATTGTTTTTGTAAGACGTACTCAACCTCTGCAGATATTGTTTCGTACTCCGCGAGTTCTGAAATTTAAGGTTTACAAAAAAAACTTAATGGACGGCATAGAATTATTTTGTAATTTTTATTGTCATGTATAATTAAGATTTTGTTTATTGCTCTCTGTAAAAATGCTATAGTGCAAGAATTCCTAGTTCAATCTCCACTGCGAATACAGTGAAAATAGTTCATTGTGTAAAATGTTCTTTAGCCTATCATTGGTAAGAAGTCTCTATAATTATGAAGAAGTTTTAGCAATTACAATTTAACGCAATTTTACAAAATAAACATATAAAACTTTCACTTTATTTTCCCTATTTGATTATCATAAAAACTTTCTGTATAAAACATTATCTGATGTCAATTAATTTCTTTATTTTTTGATAGTCTAAGTTACTGCGTTATTCGTTACTCAGTTTAATCAAAGCCACTTGAATCTTCCAGGTCATTCCTTAAGAAGTGTTTTGCCAAAGCGAATCCTACTTAGAGGTAATTTGAAACGTGAACAGTCTTTCGACTCGTTCTATTGGGATCTCCGTTCTCCAAAACACGATATCGGAGCTAGTCTAGAAGACTTCAAGCGGATTCCATCACCTTTTGGATCCAGAGAAACATTGCATTTAGCTGGGACAGTCTGGGACGGTTCAGTTGGAAATCGACCCTCAAATCGGAGCATCACTTTACAGGATGGAGGAGGCATTCAGCCCAAATCTAAACTTTCCAAACATAAGATGTTAAAAAAACAACACAGTATGTTCGCCTGCTTTCCAGAGTTTACTCAGCAACCTCAGTCTCCACTTCTCTCTCCACAATACCCGAAAGTGGATGGAAAAGGAGACTGTCTGGTTCGTTCTCCGGTAACGAGACTAGCAAAAGATTTTCCTGATCTTAGTCATTCTGGCGGTTTGGAAGAAAATGAAACAACACTGGAAGAAACTGAATCAAACAACGCAACACTTGTCAGAGACTCTAGTGTTTGTTCAATCTCATAATGAACTAAACAGGAGAGGCATAATATGGATTACACAAACAAACAAAAAATATAATTACTGGGGGCTACTGAGCATAAAGCCAGATAAGCAAAAGATTTTAAATCTTTAAATGTTGCTTTGCCGTGACTTGCCACTCACAATCTCACAGCAGTTAAATAATACTGTATTATGTACCTCAAAAATGGTCTCGTGTGTTCTTAACTAATAGTATCTCTAAGTTCGCAAGGGCAGAATTCACTAGATTATATCAATTTGGTGTTCGTTACCATGTCAGTGCATTGTAATAAAGCATCTTATGGGTCTTAACGTTGACGCAGTTTTCAAACTAGGACAATAATGTAGTAATGGTTTTTGTAGACATATGAACTGTAACCCTGTTCGTATGCAATATTATGCTTTTCTAATATATATCATTCTACGTCTAATCAACCATTAGCTTACTTGTTTGTTTGTTTTATATATTTGCCACACACTTCTTCAAGCAAGCAAAGGTGACCTTATTATTAAAATATGTTGTGCTGGGCAACTCGCATAGTAATAATAATAATAACCGAGAAAACCTGCGCTGTGCACATAAACGATAATAAAATAAAAATGTTTACTTCACATATCGACAATAGCTCGCCTTAAAATCTTAATGTTTAGTAATTCGTGAATAAGAATTTTCAGATTTTCGTTTGTAGTTAAACGTGCGTATGAAACAGCTTGATAGCACTTAAGAAATGGCTATTTCTGTGAATACTAGTCTTTGAGCAGGGGCGTGGCCAGAGTTGAAAAAAAAGTGAGTCACCACTAATTTTTGGTTTTATTTTTATTTATTTGAATATTAGTCAGGTTCCAATAATCTTTTTATTCCTGTTGTTTCTTTTGTTTACTAGTAATTTTTACTACAATGTTTACTAGCATGCATTTTTCTCTGTTTGATAAAAAATGACAAAAATGGCTCATCCATAGAGCATCCTTTTAAATAATGCGTAAATAAATGGCAGCCATCTACCATCATATACATGATTTGTTTTGCTTTTTTATACTTTGCCAAATATGCCAAATTATAGCTACAAAAAATTCTCTAAAAATAGTGGGCGCCCAGGCGCAAAGAACCTAAGCTGTCTACGCCCAATGTATTTATTTGGGCATGTGTAACACGTTGTTTCATAATATTATGCAATATATAGCTGGCTTCTTGTTGGTGTTCTCTTAACGAATAAACATTACTAAGTCTAACTTGTTGAATTTACCTAAAATTACAGATGAAAAATAAATGAAGTTAACACACACACACATATATGTAGAGAGAGAGAGAACCAGCAGTAAGCTAGTTAAATCAATTAGAGTTTCGAAAATGTTTTATTTTTTACACATTATTCAAACCTTTTGATGTGGTAATTTCAGATACGGTTACTTACTAAAGTAATTTAACACTGCTCACAAAAAGCTAGACTTAAAACAATGTTTTAGAATATCGCGATCGATTACTATAATAAATATATATGCATAACACTGCTTAATGTATTACGATACGTAACTTGTTGATCAAGATATCACAATATATAACCTATATCTTGAGAAATTGCTATAAATATTGTGTATTTGCATATATTCCGGTAGAGAACATATAACTTCAAAAATTGTACTCTGTCTTTAAGGATATGACTATCTATATCATAGATCATTGAATATCACATTATTACAACTTTTTCCTAAAACGAAATGATATAAAATACCTTCCTTGCAATATCACGATGTTTTGTACTGCGATTAATAACAGTCGTGAGCATTTAACACCTAAATTTTATATTAAAACATTTTGAAATAGAACATTTACCTTCAGATATCATGATTCATAACTAGTTTCTATATTACAATGCATATCCTGCATTTTTAAGATATTGCAGTATCTTGATATATGACATATTCAAATGATTATAGAACACAAGCGTTTCTGTCTGGAATCAACAGACGGTCTAGGTACGATTTGACTAGTTTGGAAGTAATCTTCTATACTAGACCTTTCTGAAACTTAAACCTACCACCAACTTAAACTAAAAATTGACATTGCTTTCCAAGTCGATCCAGTAACTTCGTTGACACTAGAGCAAATAATTTAAAGCTTATAACAAATCCATTTGAATGTAGCTACGTTGTGCGGAAACACATACAATTAACGTGCCATATCAGTGTTTGAGAAACAAAGTCGCTGGAAATAGACGTATTATTTAGATTGTCTTATTCTTTAATTTCAATATATTATATACAGCATAGGTTCACGCATGTGAAAAGGAGTCTACGTTTAGAATGCTCTACTCGATGCTTTTTCAATACGTAAAATGTGTCTCAAGCTCAGTTTATAAAGCAGTAGATCATTCAGAGGATGTAAATAGTAGAAAAAATTAAATGTGTAGAAGACATACAGACATTTGTTTAAAATAATCGAAATGAGCTTATTGTGGCTATTTTGTATTTATACATAATTCCGTATTTGTCTCTAATTATTGTGTTCCAAGTTTAATTTTGTTCAGGAAGTTTCCGATTTTAGGAAAGCTTTTATTATTTACGTGTCCCTAATATAATCAGTATTATTTGAATTATAATCTATATAAATGTTAATCATCAAAGTGTAACTCTTTGGAAAGTATGGTTTTCGAATTGAAAAGTGAGCAATTTAAAAAGAAAACTATTATTTCTTTTCCACGCTGCGGGTAATGACTTGAAATATTGGTCTTCGAAAGTCCACTGAATCTTTTAGTTCATTTAATTTAAAACAAATATAAGTGTCACTGTAATTCTAATTCAATTATTAGAAGGGTTTTTCTTATGTGCTCAATAACGTGTAGAATATATGTAGAATAACATTGTTTTCGAAACATTTCCGCACTAAAAAGTGCAGACAGTAAATCGCTTTCTTTTAAAAATGCATGTAAATCACAATGTTTTATTCAAAAACGTTTTGGCATACAGAGAAAGTTGCTATATGTACAGTTGTACATGCTTGTCTTAAAAAGTAAATGTTTGTACAGTTATTACATGTATAGAAAAATAGGTGTAGCGTTTAAAATGTTTGTAGCTGTGTGTGTAAGCACTTAACGTGACATTGTTGAGCACTTAACCATAACATTTATATTCACTGTTGAAAGGAACCGGGTTAAAATTCCGTTCGGTTCTCTAGATATGTCGATAAACATTATTGGAAAGTTACCGTTCAACCGAAAATTTATAATTAAGATGTTCACCAAATGCTTACAATAAACAGTCCGTTGATTCTCCCAGTTGCAGCATGATTTGAGGGTCGAGTAACTATTGAGCGAAAAACAAAATCATGCCAGAAGAATTAAGCTTTCATATGACCGAAATTTATATGAGGAAGATAAAATAAAATAAAAAATCTGGTAATTTTGCACTTATCTCTAAAATTTGTTTGCAATAATAACTGCCGTCACAATTTTACACTCGAACGGTGATAATCTGAAGTTTCAGAACACACGTGAGATGCGTGGATTATAAGTCTGTGTATAAAATTCAATATCACGCGTTTATGGCAAAGAAACGGAAGCGTTTTTGTTTCGTGCGTCTTGACTTTAATAAGATTTTTCAATAACGACTTCCTTCATTAATAAGATGGACATGTCGTAGCCATAATCGCAAATTATAGGTTATGAAAATAAGGATATTTTTGAAAATTTTTCAAATTGTCGATAACGCATAAGAATGAAAATAATACTATTATTAAAAATATATATAACTTTCTATAGTCGTGTTAGTTAATTGGTGAATTAATATCGTTATAAATCAAAGTCTTCTTTCAAATCGAGGAGACGTAATGATAGTATATCCACGAAGCTTTGATATAATGTTACAAGTTCATTTATAGCACTTGGATGTAAAGTGTCATTGTTGTTGATATCTATTTCAGCGTAGACCTTAAAATTAGTCATTGTGAATTTATATTCATACATTATCTACTTTAACAGAAAAAATGTGCTCACTGAAAGAATAAGAACTAATTTAGAAATAAATAAGAAAAATTATAAATATGTTTTTTGAATAAAACCTACCTTAAAGCATTAGAACACACCATTATTTTAGTCCAACCATAGGAACTTCCATGCTATTCTCCAATTTATGAATATCATTATGTCTAACGTGTCGTTTAATGAATAATAACACGCATAATGTCTATTTGGTAATTTGTTTATTGATTATTAATTTGATATACGTGCTTGTTGTGTGTAGTTTCAGTTTTGAATATATATGAGAAAAACTGCTCATAATTCGTTATTACTATTGATAACTAGCCACCTAGGTATATCAGCCCCTAACGATAAGTCGTTAATATTAATAACCAACCACCTACGTATATCAATCACCCTCTAACGGCTACGTGGCTTGTTATTGATCTAAACACTGCATTACAGTAGAATTTTGTAGTGGTGTATCTTCTCGTAAAAACACTTGTAAGTATAATAAAGATATACATGAGATACAAATGTCACATATTTGGAAACGTTGTACCATTTAAGTGATAATGGTCGTTTGAGTCTGTTATCATATCTGTATTTGCACAAATAGAAATGTAATAAAATGTTTTATGTCATCACGAGCAATGTAAAACTGAAATGCGTGTACTGTGTTGTGAGTCAGTAATCTGCATGACTTGAAAAGACATAGGATATCAAATAAAAGTCTTTAAACAAGTCTTGAATTATAATATATTTCTATGTCGTGTGTGCCTACTTAACGACTTCGATAAGTTAAACTGTCATAGGATAGATACTCTGTATTTCTCTGACAGACGCTTAAGTAGGGAAAAAAGTTACGTCTGTGGTATTCCCTTACGAAACTTGTAAGTAGAAGTTATTTACCACGCTATCCTGTTGTAACTACACTTCACTAAATTATTGGTTTAACTTTCATTGAAATTGTACAATAGATATTACCTAACAGCTTGACTATGTTTTTTTTCTGTCATGTTCTGAATTAGAAATGAAAGCAGCAAATTTCTGGTTTGACTTTTTATTTCAACAACTTTTCAAAAAATAACGTTACAATAATTTTAATTGTGTTTTTGAAACAACTATTGACTTCACTAGATAAAAAAAAATATTTCCCACAGTTCATTGAATAATATAGTTCATTCAGTGATTTCATCGAAAAGTGCAAACTACATAATGATTACTTAGAAATTGGAGTTATTTGTTCACGTTAATCGAATTTGCTAAAGTATTAACAAACTAACTAAATCTAGCACCCAGTTGCATTTTGAAGTAAATTCGGCTCAGTTGGAGTTCCATGTGTCATTAAACAAAATAATATAATTATTTGTAGAATGTAAAACTGAGTTTATATACAAAAGCTATACAGGCCTCACCTCCACACATAGCATAAAACTCTATTATCAAATTAGACAAACTGATGTTATGTATTCTTTATTAACTCGATCTGTATTTAACGTTCGTGGAATCGTTTGTTCTTAAACCTTTTATTGTATCGAGTTTTA